ATTCAGAGACTTTACTAGACTTTTCTTTAGATGGGTTACTGAAAAGGGCGCTCTTTTGAAAGAAACAAAGAAAAAAAAGTTTGGTTGAGAACCCAACATCCCAAGACAAAACTTACAAATATGACTTTTGCACAGCCTAGAGTTTCTCATCTTTCTTTAGTAAGACATATGTTTTGGTGATTATTATAATAACATTAGATAGAAAAAAGTACAAAGACATATGAGGACATATTATTGTAATTTAAAAAATCGTGATTGAAAAATAAAAGCCGTATTGTTGGAAAAGAATTGAAGCATAATTTGTTGCCTGTTAGTCGCGCTATAAATATATCTTGCATGTAATATGTGTGTATATTGAAACACGCATTTCTCCTTTTAAAATTTGTACATTTTGTTGGTTTTTTTTTCTCCACAGAACTCGCCTTTTCCCTCTCAGTTTTCACGGGCTTGGACCGTCACAGAGTACACAGTACACTGAGGCCTGATTAAAAAGACGGCGCTACCGAGCGCTCACGTTTGGGGGAGTTAGTGTTAGTTAATTAGTGGTTAGAGATGGTAAGTTAGTGATTAGTGTTAGTTAATTAGATGGTTAAAAGTGGTTAATGGTAGTAATTTAGAGGCTAATTTTGGTTTGTCAGCGGTTAATAAAAGTTCGTTAATTGTTGGCACTGATTAGTTAGTAGTGGGCACAGGTTTGTCAGTGGTTGATGGAGACAGCTAATGTTTTACAAGTTGAGTTTGTTAGATAAGGTGTACTGATGGTTAGCTAGTGTTTTAGAATTGGTCATCTGGTATTTCATAGTTAGCGTTATTCAGTTGTGGTTTTATAGTTATTGCTGATTAGTTAATGTTGTTATGTTAAAGTTAGTGTTCATTACTTAAGCTCTTTTCTGAATAACTTTTTGGTCTGTTTTTCCATTAAATTTAGTAATATTTAATTTACAACTTGAGTGTATTAGATAATATGTAATGATGGTTAGCTAGTGTTTTAGAATTGGCTAGCTGGTCTTTCTTAGTTAGCGTTATCCAGTTAGTGTTGAATAATTATTCTTGATTAGTTAATATGTTACAGTTAGTTTTGATTATTTAGTTTTCTTTTCCTAATCAGTTTTTAAAGTTTATTTAATTTAGTGTTTTTTAGTTTGTGGAGTACATTTAGTTAATATTGGTTACTTTATACCTAGTGTTAGTTAAAAGTGTTACAAATTCGTTAGTGTTCTGGTAAATCTAAAAAAAAAAATGTTATTGCTATTAATGGTACCAAAACTGTAATTGAAATGAAGTTTGCAAGATTTAAAAGATGTTGGGTCGTGTTATAACTGTTAGTAGGAAAGAAAAATTAGTAGAAAGAAAAAAGGTTGCGACTACCAAAGGTCCGTGTTTCTCACAAACCCTCCATAATTCCCCTGAGCTTCTCATGAGTAGACAAGAACTCCAAGAGGCCGGGAACAGACAGTCGCTTCTGAGGATCTCTGCGCAAAAGTCCTTTCAGAACTTTTCTGTAGAGGAAAACAAAATACAAATTGAAGTTAGAAAACTTTTAACAAATTAAATATTAGTAAAAAGAAATGATAACATGCGTTTAAAATGCTTCAAAGATTAAACATAACACGATGTATAACTGGATGCCAAGCGATGCAAGATGGTTATAGTTATGTATAATAATTGAAACATAAAAGCCTCCAGTTATATGAAAAAAAATGCTGTCAAAGATATAAAAATGTTTTAGTTTATTTAAGCCCCGTATCCACACAGGACTTAATCAACGTTTAAATACAATTTATACTTTCACACCTAAGCTTACAACAAAAACGTCTATGGTGTAACCTATTCTACTGCGTTCTAATATATAATACAATTTAGTAAAATATGACACTAGCTGAGGAAATATAATATTACAGATGTCTTACCTGTACATTGTGGGCAGAGAAGAATTCCTCACAGCGTCCAGATGATCCAGGTCTGCTGGTTTGAATCTGAAAACCAGTGACCACAGCGTGGCTCCCAGTGCGTATGCGTGTACGTCCACCTGGAAAAAAAGGAAAACAAATAACACGAAAATTAAACATCGGAATCACGTTACATTAATATGAAACATCATAACAATTGAGGCAATAGATAACGATATGATGCTACAAGAGACACATATCGTGTGTAATAAAACAATGTCACGTTAACAACAGTGAATCAGACAAAAGGGGAAAGAATAGGAATAGAAGTCACATTTCTCTGATAGAACAAACGCAAACATTTACTGTATGCCACCCACAACATTTCGAAATACACAAACAAGTCAAGATGGAAAATTAAAAAAGTAAAAAAAGAAATTAATACTTACCAGAAAAGGGTCGAATTTGCAACCAAGGAAAAACTCAAGTCCAAGATATCCCAGAGTTCCTCTCCAGGGACTCAGGGTGTTTTTTTCCATCAGGTAAGATCCGAGAACAACCAAAGTCTCCGAGGATGGCGTTGTAATTGGAGGCGTCTAGGAAGATGTTGGCTGGCTTCACGTCCCCGTGTACACAGCGCTGGTCGTGGAGATATCTCAGGGCACAGGCGGTTTGCACGAAAACCCGTTCCACTTGGTCCCGTTGGAGCGACTGACGCAATCCATCCAAAGATCCCTGAGAACACAGAGGCATATAGATAGCCAGGAAGCTGTCACACGTGACCACCCAGTCCATCTTCATGAGGTGCGGGTGCTGAACGTTGTGCATGATGATCAATATAGTATTTTGTAGTAAAATGTGACTG